GAGATGTCACCTCCAACTGGAGCCATTGTGAGTGGTCTTCGTTCGGAGAGACCATTGCTTGTGAGTAGACCGACCAAGTACAGAGTTCCATAAATTGGTATTTACATGTAAAAGGTGCTGTATTTTATTTCCGTAAAAATCTCAAGACCAAACAAATCCGTCTGCTGTTCAGAAATATCCGCATATTTTCCTCTGGAGAGATATGCCGCTCCTTTCATGTTTACAGATCACGGCGTTCCATTCTGGAGAAAATACGTTTTCAATGGCCACCACCACCGCAACTGCTTAACGAGACACATGACAGTGAAGTTCGGTCGCGCTTTGCCCGAGAGGAATCAAAACCTTCAAACCTCGGGACAATTTCAGGTCGATCCTCACGTTAAGCCCCGTCACACGAGCTCATCAACAGCTCTTGTCCTTGGTCATATCGAAACTTGAACCCCGGACACCTGAAATACGGGACAATCTTACACACACGTGATCGACAACCAGGTAGCTCGTGTCAATCGGTTGACCCACCCGCCAAGACTTCCCAGTCCGGTAGCGCCACGGACCTCCTGGACATTTTCGATGAGTCGTACTTCAACGCGAGATTTGTGTTGATGATACGCTCCCCTCACAAGGCAGGTTCCTCAAAACCCGGAATAGTTTACGGGCCCTAGTAAGGGCGAAGTTCGAGTCCAGCGCTTAGTCTCTCTGGTACAGTAGGCGAAAAGCTTCACCAGAACAGAAGACTGATCAAACAAGGGCGAAATGCGGATCCCTCAAATCTTGCGACTGAATACTCCTGATATGCTATCCAGCAACAAAGCTTGCGCAGACCAACACATACTATACCTGTCTTCAGAATATAGTAAAGCTGCATTACGGGTTAAAGGTAGTGACGCTGAAAACTAGAATGGGGCAACGCAAGATAAGTCTATAGTTATCCAACCCCTATAAATTACCGTTGTCGGTCAAGAAGAGATTGAACCTTACGACAGTGTGACGGTTTGTTTACCTCCGCGACTTAGTGAGTTTTACTGAGGGGTGTCCATGCGACACTCACAGAGTCTGTCATACAAGGTTGATCAATAGTTAGAGGTCTAACAGTCTTCAGGGCCTTCATTTTGAAGGTTGGAAAAAATGTGGCGACTGGTTCCGTAAAAACTGAAATACATTTGCGTTTCCGGCAAAAAACCGCCGCCTTGCTGTCAGGCATTCCAGTCACACACTGTGGCTGAGGACCCTAATTGTCCTTCTGTTTAGGTGTGGGCGCCCCGGTAGTATCCCTATGTACAACCACGCAAGATAAGTCTATAGTTATCCAACCCCTATAAATTACCGTTGTCGGTCAAGAAGAGATTGAACCTTACGACAGTGTGACGGTTTGTTTACCTCCGCGACTTAGTGAGTTTTACTGAGGGGTGTCCATGCGACACTCACAGAGTCTGTCATACAAGGTTGATCAATAGTTAGAGGTCTAACAGTCTTCAGGGCCTTCATTTTGAAGGTTGGAAAAAATGTGGCGACTGGTTCCGTAAAAACTGAAATACATTTGCGTTTCCGGCAAAAAACCGCCGCCTTGCTGTCAGGCATTCCAGTCACACACTGTGGCTGAGGACCCTAATTGTCCTTCTGTTTAGGTGTGGGCGCCCCGGTAGTATCCCAGCCTATGTACAACCATGAATTTCACACGAAACTTATGTCACATGGCCGTCGCGCAGTGCCCTCAGCGGATGTGCATAACTTACTGCATGTAGCTGGGCAGGTGAGCGAAAACTTTCTACTTCATTTTCTTTTCTTCCCCCTCTCTATTCATATAGGCCCAGCAATTAGGACTGATGATTCCGTTCGTCCTGCAACGATTTTCCAAACAACATCTGCGCGTCATCCGACGCTGATATCCTTAAGCATCCCGAAATCGGTCAACCTCGATGCCCAGTTTATCTGGCTCCTTTCAACATCCGCACTCTGAAGTATGTAGGACAATATGCTGCTCTTGATCTTACGCTGTACTAGCTTCAAACCTATCTGTGGGTAAATAAGAAACAAGAATCCAAGAGGTCAGCACAGCGGTTGAGCTAACAGCCCCATCACTCTCCACTCGCTTCCGGTTGCGCAACCTTTGGCAGTCCAGAGAGCGCTGCGGCACGATGTACAGGGGTTGGAGTCGTCCGAAGTCACAGGCCGGAAGGACCCTTGGTTGACTGGAACCCTCTGACAGCCGCCACTGTGTAGGTCGTCCGGCAACGTCTGTGAAGGAGTCACAAAAGTGGGCAGCAGATTGCTGTCCGTTTGTCGCATCTGCTGACACTTCCGCTGAATGTATCTCTGGCATCATCAAAGGCAGGTTTCAAGACGCCCTGTTGCGGCAAGCTAAAAGCTTCGACATCGTTATGGTTGCCAGAGAGATGAACGCACAAGTGGACAGACTTAGCGCATCTGTCGCTTAAATAGGCAGGTTCCTCAAAACCCGGAATAGTTTACGGGCCCTAGTAAGGGCGAAGTTCGAGTCCAGCGCTTAGTCTCTCTGGTACAGTAGGCGAAAAGCTTCACCAGAACAGAAGACTGATCAAACAAGGGCGAAATGCGGATCCCTCAAATCTTGCGACTGAATACTCCTGATATGCTATCCAGCAACAAAGCTTGCGCAGACCAACACATACTATACCTGTCTTCAGAATATAGTAAAGCTGCATTACGGGTTAAAGGTAGTGACGCTGAAAACTAGAATGGGGCAACGCAAGATAAGTCTATAGTTATCCAACCCCTATAAATTACCGTTGTCGGTCAAGAAGAGATTGAACCTTACGACAGTGTGACGGTTTGTTTACCTCCGCGACTTAGTGAGTTTTACTGAGGGGTGTCCATGCGACACTCACAGAGTCTGTCATACAAGGTTGATCAATAGTTAGAGGTCTAACAGTCTTCAGGGCCTTCATTTTGAAGGTTGGAAAAAATGTGGCGACTGGTTCCGTAAAAACTGAAATACATTTGCGTTTCCGGCAAAAAACCGCCGCCTTGCTGTCAGGCATTCCAGTCACACACTGTGGCTGAGGACCCTAATTGTCCTTCTGTTTAGGTGTGGGCGCCCCGGTAGTATCCCAGCCTATGTACAACCATGAATTTCACACGAAACTTATGTCACATGGCCGTCGCGCAGTGCCCTCAGCGGATGTGCATAACTTACTGCATGTAGCTGGGCAGGTGAGCGAAAACTTTCTACTTCATTTTCTTTTCTTCCCCCTCTCTATTCATATAGGCCCAGCAATTAGGACTGATGATTCCGTTCGTCCTGCAACGATTTTCCAAACAACATCTGCGCGTCATCCGACGCTGATATCCTTAAGCATCCCGAAATCGGTCAACCTCGATGCCCAGTTTATCTGGCTCCTTTCAACATCCGCACTCTGAAGTATGTAGGACAATATGCTGCTCTTGATCTTACGCTGTACTAGCTTCAAACCTATCTGTGGGTAAATAAGAAACAAGAATCCAAGAGGTCAGCACAGCGGTTGAGCTAACAGCCCCATCACTCTCCACTCGCTTCCGGTTGCGCAACCTTTGGCAGTCCAGAGAGCGCTGCGGCACGATGTACAGGGGTTGGAGTCGTCCGAAGTCACAGGCCGGAAGGACCCTTGGTTGACTGGAACCCTCTGACAGCCGCCACTGTGTAGGTCGTCCGGCAACGTCTGTGAAGGAGTCACAAAAGTGGGCAGCAGATTGCTGTCCGTTTGTCGCATCTGCTGACACTTCCGCTGAATGTATCTCTGGCATCATCAAAGGCAGGTTTCAAGACGCCCTGTTGCGGCAAGCTAAAAGCTTCGACATCGTTATGGTTGCCAGAGAGATGAACGCACAAGTGGACAGACTTAGCGCATCTGGGGCTCGCTTAAATGGTCGACATTGACTGGACTCGGTACTAGGGACAGCTGAAACGACTGTTTCACTTCTTGAAAGGCAAACCCCAATAGCCCCTGCTTCACTTGTAACACCCACCACGGATCAATTGATGAAATCCAGATACTGTAACGATCGCGTCAGAAAACAGGTGGAAGCTTTCCAAGTCAATTCACGCCGATAATCTTACGTTGAAAGGCCTAAAGGGATGTCAAGAAGGTCGAATTCCTGAAACTAATCCCAGAATGCCCGAAACCTATGGACATCCTCAAGCCCCATCAAAATCGCAGTGGCGAAGGCGTCAAGCACCCGGGCCAGAAAAGCCAGCTGCCTATTGGACGCTAAAGCAGTTCAGTAGTGGCCTACGACGGTGAATGCTCAGGTATGTCACACAAGCACTACTGACGATGACGACTATTCAGGTGTTTCACAGAAACAACGGCTAACGAAAACGAGCGCTCACCCAATGCCCATCGGGCAGCCTGATTTCAATGCCGAAAGTGCGCCCTAAATAACGTGATGCTCCCTCTGACGTTTGCACTCGCTTGTTTGCAATGTAGCTGTTGTGTTCCTCGTTAATGAATCTTTTTCCGACACTAAGGCACTGTGTTGGGGACAACGGTAGCAGTTAGTTACGACAGATACCCTTAAACGCAAGAAACCAAACACTATTGATCGATTCGGGTTTAAAGGATACACTTAGTATTTTGCGAGGTGATGAAGAATTTCGTTGTGGTTAGAAACTCGAATGGCCACTTGAAGAAAAACGTAAGGTTATGTACTTTACTGAACCAGTCATTAATTGGTTAGTAGTTATTCCCAGAGAGGTCCCAGTCAGTGAATGCCCCGCTTAATACAGTTGAGAGTAACCTTGCCAAAAATTTCTCATATTGAAAAATTCAGATATATGAGCACTTGTGTCTAGTTGTTCGAACCTACTACAAATTCAAACTTTTCAACTGTTAGTCTACACTGAGTAAATTTGATTCACCATCTTCGCCCCTTTGAAGAGCACTCAATAAGGAGCGAAATTTAAAAGACACGAAACAAATGTTTCCAACAAATTCAAAACATTTCGACACCAACCACTTCAATGCGAGGGTGGGAGAAAAGGGGAATCGGATAAAGGTAGCTTGTATTCACATGAGCAGCGTCCGTAGTCATAAAAATCACGCAAAACCATCTTCAGTTACCAGGTCTCGTTACGTGTATCTATCTAGAATGTGCAGGAGATCAGCGACTGATTCAATAACTGTTTTGGCAGCTCCAATCGGTGTTCGTCAAGTGTCGGTACGTACAACGCGTTTCTCCACTCCAGTACGCCTGTAGTCAGATCGCATTTCTAAGTAGAGCCGCTTCATTTCTTCGAAAAATTCCGGATCAGCAATACTAGAAAGGGACGGGAGAGGGGAAATTCGCACCAACAGATGGTATAACCCACTGGTCTTTGTTACACTTCAGGGCTTCGAAGAAAACACGATGGCAAAATATGCTTGCAACCCGCCGATATTTCTGACTGCACACAGTCCACTCTGAAAGAGTATGGGTCAAAGATATGATCCGAATACAACTAACTGTCCCAAGGCTCGAGGCACTCCTGGACACGTAGCCGGTCATTCATCAGCGCTGGGATAATCGTCTCCAGCTCCACACTGTTCAACTCTTCTGATGCAGGATCCCCTGGAGAAGACAATAAGATGATAAGCGCGATTCAACCTAGGAGAATCAAGTGTTAACACTCAGCTACTGGGCTAAAGCAACAACTGAAACTCAGACAAAACTTCACTGACAAACTATCTAGAGCCTTAGAACAGTGAGCAAATAAAACTGGGGAGCTCACGTACAGAAGGCACCCTGAACTGATTGCATTATCTTAGCACAGAATACGGGATCGCCTCGCTGACTTAGCCCTGTTCTGGTCAGCGAAAATTGATAGTGAGCCGAAACCGTGAATAGAATTAGAAAGATTAATCCCACAATAACCCCCGCACAACTCCATTATGCAATACTGCGGGTTGAACAAGGTGATTTTTGTCACCCACATACCGCATACAAAGGTAAAACACTCGAAGCCACCAAAGCATGGGGTGTCGCTTTTATTAGCAATGGTGAACATAAACGGCTCAGTGTTGTCACTTCTCAAAAACCGTTTGCATCTGGCTACGATGAACACCTCGAGTCTTTTCTGTGTGGACATTCAGGAGGATCATTGTGTAGGGGTATCAGGAAGGTCATATTCCTGAAAGCAACCTCAGAACGCCCGGAACCTACTGCTCCACGAAAAACTCAACAGGAAAGCAGGCAAGCGTCCAGGCCAGTCAATCATTCAATCAATTCAGCACGCCACAGAAGCACGACCGAATGTGATCAGCGTTCAGGCATTTCATAGAGGCACGATCGATGTTGGTGGGTGTTCATTAACGCCTATCAAACAGCCTGGATCAATGTCAGAAAGTCCCCTTTAAATAGCGTAGGGCCGTTGTAACTTTTGCTCTCGCACTCGTTTGTTCGGAATATGGCGGTTGTGTTCCCTTCTGTGAGTCTTTTTTCTCCGACATTAGGCACTGGAGCGGATCAGCAGCAGATACCACAGATTGACGAATCAGCCGATATAACAATGGGATAGCACAAACATGATGGGAAATAATAATAGTAAGAAGAAATGTCACCGAACAATCGTCGCACATTCAGTGACACACACTACCATCAACGTGATGGCGCGCCCATGTGCCTATCACTAAGTCCGATGCTAGCCGGCATTCTCATGGGTAAATTTGAAAATGATCTCTTAAAAGTAAGCATAGAGAAGATACGGTACTACTGATGATATGCAGACGATGAAACCGAGACGGACTACTTTCAACAGTTCAGTATGGCCCATACCACTGTACAATTCAACTGCGAAGAAGAAGCCGATAATTCCTTCCACTTCTGAGACTTTGGTGGTGACGGACACCGTGGTACACTGAGAAGACCAGTGTGCTGAAATCCTAAATGGGCCGAGCAATACACCAAATTTAACAGATTCGTCCCATTAAAACAGAAACGTAGTCTAATTCAGTCTTGTCAACAGGGCGGTAAAATACGCTGACGATGCGTTGGAACAAGAAACCTTAACTCCCAACAACATTCTGAGGGACGGCGGGTTTCCTGATAATTTTATTCGAAAGCAAGTGAACAGAGAAGAACCCACAGCTGAAAGAAAGCCCGTTCACGTTAGACTTCCAGTTAAAGGTGATGCACTTGCCCACCCACTGAACAGAAGGTTCTACACAGGCTTCAACAGAGTTCCCCCGCCAAAATACTTGGAGCCTGGTTCACAAGCAGCCGTCTGTAGGATCGAACATGGAGCACCTGTACCAGCCCGAAAAACGTTAGTATACTCATTCGCATGTCGCAGTGCAGTGAAGTACAGTAGCTGCGCAAATGACCAAAGAATGAAGGAACAAATTCACTCTGGTTAGCCTCTGGGACCAAAAGGACGGTGACCAGCTCAGTAGTGCACCATCTAGCAAACAAGATACACACCCGAAGTTTGCGAAGCTATTCCAATCCGGCATCGTGACCCGATCCTTTGATGACAAAAATGCTTTGTTGGCATATTGGCATATTAGCTCAACCCCCCCCCCACACACACACACACGCGCAATTACACACTATGCTAAATACACAATCTCATCACTACTCAGCAGCCAATATCATCCCACTCAGATTCCTGTTTCATGTCTACCGTGTTCATAAAGTTGTGTTGAATGCTAGCAATGTGTTGAGATATTGGTAGCTCGGGTGAGTTTATTGGTTGCTGATCAGGTGGCTGTTGATCTGTTCGCCGAGCTTGGCAATTGGCTTGCAGACGTTTCGTCACCATACGAAGAGACAACATCAGTGCGCACTTGGGTGGGTCAACAAACAACGTGTTAAATGCTGCTGTCTTGAACTTTGCAACTGAAACTTGAAAGTACCTTGTCGAAAACATGTTCGTCAACCCAATTTTATTCTCATTCAAAACAGGAATTTACGGAATAAAGATAATATCAGCTTTTCTATTGGGCAGGCATCTACTCCCGGCCAATTTTCTGTCTGGTTGTGCACAGTAATCCATCCCGTTATCTGCAGTTATATTTTTTCTGTTGTGGCTATAGTTACGTCCGATTCTAAATATCTCACTTCCGTCCACAAAACCTAAGGGCGTATTCCTAGCCAGGCTTGCCTCACGAGCGTTACGTGACTATGACAACTTCGGTAGCATCGCACACAGTAACAGTCGTGTTGCCTCACAACTATATAGACTTATTTCAAGACAGTCTTATGAATAGGAGTAACTGGGAAGTAGGGTGGCAACCAAAAATAACGGCTTGCTTATGATACCTTGTTTGATGGTTGCAAGGCTTGATCGCTCCGATCCAAAGACCTTAGGTGTCTTTAAATTCTTGATCACCCGGCTGTGGCGAGTACGCAACGAAGTATTCTTTAGGCGGCTAGTCGAAATCAGAATTATTACGGCAGTAGATCAAACCTACCAGTGGATGGAACGCGTTCTACACAGGTCCAACTCATGAAAGCAGTAAAGCACGGTTTTTCAGCTGCAACACTGCAAAAAATATAGTGGTTCCAAGTGCTGAATCTTATTTTACCGAGGATGAGAATTAGAAAAGAATGAGAGCCATGCGTTGGAGGCGATGTCCCAATCAGTTCAGTTACGTCAAATAGTTCTGTCCAGAGTAGTAGGGATGGAGATCTATACAGTGAGGGCGATAGTAACAGAGCCACTTCTGTTGGGGCCCGTAACCAGTACTGTCTTGGCCCGCGGTCTACATCCTGGAATACGGCATTCACCAACGCAACTGAGTTGACTAGTAAGATCATACATGCTTCATTGCTAATTTATGTACGACGACTGCCTCTGAGTAGTGTCCATTTGATAAAAGACTGAACGAACAGGGGTCCACAAGGCATATAAGGCTTTCATAAGAGACAATAAATTAGAAGGAACGTTCCTCATCGCCAAACAATGCCACAATTCCTGATGACCAACGGAGTCAAAGGTAGCTTCGAGTTCGAGAAATACGACCACTGTTTATCGTTGGAAAGAGTGGCGCAGTTCCAACACTTGCCATCAAATGAAGATACGAACAATGCATCCGCAGCCAGGGTGCAACCCAGCTTGGTTCCCGCGAATCTGACTTCCCTAAGGATGGGCCAACCTGTGCAGGTAAATTTAGAGAGCACCCTGAAAGCCATAGCTTTTGAGCTGATGAACCGGCGGTCTTCGCGCAACGCTCTTGCGCCTTTTTTCAATATGGGAATTAACGCCGATGCGCTCCATTCTGCTGAACGCTTTCCGTCATTCCAGACGTTTGGCACTTGGGTTAGATTGGCCACGATAGACTCGCCACCTTCTTTGAAGAGTGCATGGTGCAAACCGTCTGATCCAGATGCCTTGTTGAGCTGGAGCAATCAGATTGCATACAGGACTTTCATCATCAATGGCAGGTTGATGTCAACGTCCCACTTGGGTTCAGTTGGTCCTTCCTAAGGAAGAGTTGAGGGGGTCTAGCTGAACTATGTTTCAAGTGTTTAGCCCATCTTTCAAAACAATGCCCTGTGAATGGATTGAGGTCCCATCCTTTTGGATGATAGGCTGAAACTCGCCGCGTCAGTTTTAACAGGATTAACCTGAACAGGGTGCGATTGCTCTCCTTTTGGAAAGCCTTCTCCATTTCCCAAACTTTTGCGATCCATCAGCACCCTCTGTTGAACATTAGGCTCTTCATTATTCGAAGTTCGCGGGGTCCGTGCACACCACTACAGTCGTTTGTTGCTGGTATAGCTTTCCTGGCTTCAACCAGAGCTGCTGATCGTGACGACAGTCAGTGGTTTTTCGGGGTATGAGCGCCTTCGCGCATGCAGTTTAAAAGGTTGTTGTCATGGAATCTTCCATATTTCACCAACCGCCACGCAAACCACCACAACTAGCCTATCCCTCGGATTCTGAAAGCGTTTCGTTGAGCACTTGTTGGGCTACAGGGAACTGAACTACAGATGAACTAAACGGCTGTCGATCGACTAGCTGGTTACTAAGTAGATATGCGTGCCCGCACAATATCGCGTTCCGGAGGTACACTTGAAAATGCGCGACAGTCTTGTGCCGAAGAGCTCCACAGCAAACTAATTACCACGTGGTCCGAATGCGTTGCAGCCTGAGACCTCTGAGTCATATCATAGGAGCGCTTGTGCTGAAAGTTAACGCCAGCTATAAAAAAATGATATCCACCACATAAGCGAAGAAACTGTTCCCCATTAACTGTGCAGCGAGCGACAACCAAGAATCGGTCACCAAGCAGGGATTTCTCAGGACATAGTCGGCCAACCTGAGCATTCGTCACCTGTCACAATCATCATATCTGCGCTTCTCGCTAACCGAGGGGGTCGTGACAAATCACGACAGATATCTTTCCCACACTCAGGGTTGACGGCTGTCCGACCGTATGCAGACACAACAAACAAACACTGTTTAGCACATCGAAATACATTGACTCTACCTGAACCAGTTAACCTAACTGCGCAGACGACTGGTAGCTGGAATCCCGTTCAGTAATGCACATCGAGTCCTGAGACTGAGCACAATTCCCACACCGTAGATTTTACGAGTCATTGCATCACGACCACCAGGCACCCAAAGCGTGAAGTGAGGGAATTTGGGTTGGCCACGAGCAGTTTCAGATGGATGAGAGTCTTGTATGCGTCTTTTAGAGACAATACACACCGATCGAAACAGTGAACAAGTTCTCACCAAGAGATACCTCACTGTCACACAATTAGATACAGAGTACGCAAATTGAGAGCAGTAATGTTAAACATATCCCTGGAATTCAACAATGGTTTATTTTTACTAATTTTACTAGGCAAAAACGTAGGCAGGGAGAAACCGCTAAGTGATTGGTAGCTGAATGAGTCAGAAGAACTTGAGTGAGGGATGTTTGGAGTGGAGTCAGTGAACAAAGACCCGCAACGGCTAATTATAATATCCGGCTGCCAAAGCCGGTGGCTCGGTTGAGCGTTTGACTCAAAATTCTGATCGACGCAGAAGCAGAAGAGGGTAGATTTTGTTTGGAGGACCCTTCCATTAGCTTCTGGCTCAAAAGTATGGACCGCGAGAAAGACCCAACGACTCAAAAGTCTGACACACTTAGCTGAAGGAGGCTGGCCTGGTCAGAGAGTGAGGCACTAGTGCCTAACTCCTAGTGTGCCTGCGCACAGTAGATACCTTTTGAGCAGCACCAGACGCTTTGGTTCTAAAGGTATTTCGACGGCATTGAATAACGTGCCGGGGGTGATGGTCAAACGCTGGACGATCAGAATGTGTGGATTTAAGGGGCGAACTTTTCGAATCTGTATCTTCCCGGGAGTGGGCAGCGTCGTTCATCATCATCATCATCATCATCACCATCATCATCATTATCGACTGCATGACATCAGTGTTCAATACTGATGCTTCACTGCCGTACGTTGTACAGCGTCGTTGCTTCCATGAGTATGGATATTTTGATCGCCTGAAGAAATGCCTTACTGTTTTCACACTGCTGCAGCAGGAGACAGTACGACTTTACCTCTAGGTCATCTCGTAATACGGTTTCTCACAGTATGAAGACTCGCTGTTTTTCCTCGGGTCACTCACCTTTGGCCTTCCTGGCAAGGTCGAAATTTAAGAAACTGAGTTCCATCAGGATCAGGATCATTAGTGCACTGAAGCTCGGCCACCACTCTAGGTAATAGCTTTTGGCCTGGAAAGATGCTAGCCTCATTTTCTGCTCAAGGCCATTATTGGAGAAAGGTTTTCGGAGGACAGTACATGGAAGAGCAAAATGAAATGAAAGCAGCGACAGTCAAACTGAATGTTGAGGGGTCTTCACGTTTTCCTGTCTGTGGCCCGAGTGACCCTGGTTGCATATGACTGGCGACCCTGTAGGATATGGCACGTAACCTTCCGTAGTGGTGGGCATGCTAAAGTTCGCTTGTCCTTGCATGATAGGCTTTTGTCGGGTGATTACTTCGGATCAATGCTGTTGACGGAGCCCTACTTCAGCAGGACGCTTAGATGTGTTTACGACAATGTTGTGCAAAGATGTAGATACCTTATTGAGGAGAATGTTTGATGATCAGATAGCGTAAATGGTCGTTGGTTTTAAAACAAACCCCAACCCACTGCGTTCCTTGACAACACACTGCTGATGTCACCTCGATTGATGGTGTAACATTTGCAGGCAAATTTCCAAGCTCGGCGAACAAACCAACGACCAGACGGCTTATTCTTGATTGGCCCCCCTTCTCTTGTTTCCACTCTTTACTGGTGCTTTCCTTATAGGTGTGTTGTATTTGAGAGCCAGTATATATTGCCGGTGTACTACCATCAATAACGATGACGAATACCTTTAGGCCACCGTGCATCGCGTAGGTATAAGGTATGGTGTCCTTGGTCACACAAGGGAACACCTTTGCGGATACCAAAGTATGCTTCACTGAGCACTTAGTGATGCAACGGATAACTGACAGGAACCTACCGCACGCGTTTTGAACCGGAATCATTGGAATTTAGTTATATCCGGGTTTCAACAGTCTTTAAGTATGCAGTAGATTTTTCGCCCAGTCTGGAGCGAACACCTCGAATGTTTACGTCTATGACATGAACGCACAACGCAGCGAAACTGTACAAGAGACGTCAGTCCCAATAAGTTAGGTCAGTACAAAAGGGGAGCTCCTGAGCGACCCTGCTAAACGATACTGAATAATGTGCAATGTTTTGTCACCACCGTGTACACTGAAAACAATATATTCTTAGGTTGCAGGCAGCTATTCTCGTTACACTGAGTAGTATCATCTCGAAAAGAGGGCGTAAAGACCGCCGAAACAAACAAGCAGTATTTTGAGGCCAAGTGAAGCAATGATAAATAGCTATATGATTAGACGGAGACGATTTTTTGTTTCCCTTTTTAAATGGCTACTGTTCCTTGAGAAGCGGTGAACTGGATCCAGTTGCGTAGTTAGGACGTTATCACGCAGATAGTCTCCACAAACGGTCCACATAACCACAGAAATGGGACAAAAGGAAACATTCAAACCTGTACTTACCTAATCCCAGCGGCCCGCTGACGTCATTCGACGGTAGTATAGTGAATTGTAACCCGCCGTTTTTCGAAAACATTAAACCCATTCTTTGGGTTGTTGTACTGAGATCTATGCACTCAAACGGCAGTTACCACTGAGCGAATTTCAAAGGCTACAAAAAGTCACGAAATCGTAATGTCAGTACCGGGTCGTTTCTATTTCCGGTTGCAAAAGTGTGCTGTATGGATGTGTTGCGACCACCAAATTCGGTTCCGTGCCACTGACCAAATGTAAAGATGTGGATGTGACCTAGTGTAATGCTTCGTTGAGATGCAACCAGAGTGTACCTTCTTTGAAACCTACATATATTGTAGGTTTGATCCTGAAGGGCTATTCTGCCAGATGGTACAACAGTACATGTCACTGAAGGAGCAAGTGTAATATACAATAAAGTAGCAAATTTCGAACAAAGGTCACTGTAATGCAGAAAAACTGCAAGCAGGTCGCTGACTTCGGCCCTACACCATATCTGCCATAGCCTTTAAGCACGAACATTCACCGTTCTCTGGATTCTAGCCAGAAATTTCATCCAACTCGTCGAGGCCTGGGTGTCATAATCCCGGCATGACTGAAGGCTACGGGTTCTAAATTAATGGTGCCTGAGGACTACGCAAAGGATCGAGTGGACCGGAGGATTCTCCAAACCAACAATCCAAAAGCGTTATTTCGGTACTTCACAATGACCCAAGCGCACCCAGCTAAGTCATCCGACATGCGCTGAGCAAGCTGTCTATAAATTTCAAACCTATATGGAGACGAGCGATGCCATCGTACAGACTAACTGAAAATGGGGTCCAGGATAGTCAATCAAAAAGTTTAAAAACGTTCATTAACCTCAGTTGTAGTCCATGTGTGGAGTCGTCAAGCGTAGGTGCCTGCACACCGGAACACTACTTAAGCCAACAAGACCAGCCACAGTAGAGTTCCGAGACACCTCGTTGTGATCATCGAACTGCCTTCAATCGTTGGTTGGCTTTTGTTGCCAAATGCCTATCGTGCCGCCTAACGTTTCGAGTGTTACCGGTGGTTTGGTATCAGAATGATGATTTTGCCTTTATTGTTAGATCTATCTTGACAAACGTACAGTCCTCGACTGTACTTCAGTAAATGAAGTCAATGCACAACAAAACACAACCAGCACTCACCCACTTGCGTTGCTTCTGACGTCAGGAGTGAGAGCCGTCTAGTATTATGGTTGTGAAATTTGGCCCCTAGGATAGCAGGCGTCAACAAGGCTGCGGCATGTCATAACAAAGTAAACAGCAAGCAAGTACTAGTCAACGGGCCAGATTCACGAGAACATCAGATAAGGCTTAAAAGTTCAAAGTGGTCTATCAGTGTAATGCGTACGCCCGGCCACCATCTATTGTAGACGTTCACTCAGAGGGCCATGCTACCGAAACCAAGCAGGTAGTAATTGCTTATGCCGTTTCCTTTATTGTGGGCGAGATGGCCCAAGTGGTTAGAGTGCGAATTTACTGACCGGAAGGGTCGTGGTTCGAATCCGACCTCCGCCACTCGACTTCCCCTGTCTAGGCTTGGGCAACCTGGCAGTATCCTAGCCCTCGTGCTTCCTTCGAGTGGCATGGCAGCTAGGCACCGGAAGGGTGCTACAGCTGAACGCTTTCTTTTCTTCCTTTATTGACCTCCCACTTTTCATTCGCAACAAATTTTGCTCTGTTCAATTACTTTTGCAGCATCAAATGCGGACGTGATCGCTTCGCAAATTTTATACTCCAGAAGCTCCTTCATGATCGCATCCTCGCCGATACCATCAGGATATTGACCCAAATGTCTGGCGCGCATCGTTAACTGTCCAGTATTCGCAGTCAGCAAGATGGATACCGAATACTGCATCACATACGCCCGTGTGGTCAATAAGGAATGTGGGCGCTGACCGATAATAACCGATGATAAATTCGTGTTTCATCTTCATGGTTGGTCTCCAGTCGCCACAAGATGCAGGCGTTCGGATCCGGTTATTAAAAAAGATAAAGCGTTCAGCTGTAGCACCCTTCCGGTGCCTAGCTGCCATGCCACCCGAAGGAAGCACGAGGGCTGGGATACTGCCAGGTTGCCCAAGCCTAGACAGGGGAAGTCGAGTGGCGGAGGTCGGATTCGAACCGCGGACCTTCAGGTTAGTAATCCGCGCTCTAACCACTTCGGCCATCTCGCCCCCGGTTATTGAATGAACGGGGTCCGGAATTGATACTTTAAAAGGTTTCTACTGAATACCGGCGTCTTATGACCCTTGCGGTTGGTGCTACAACATTCCCAGCCCTCATCCTGACAGGTCATGTAAAGTGATCGCCAAAAGACAATTAGGCTTTAGGTGGTTCCCATAAACACCACCCACAACATTCTGATTTTGTGACAAATGAGACTCTCTAATTCAGTTTCCTACCCGTACAGGTGCAATCGAAAAAGTCGTAAAAAGGAGTACCGCAGAGACAACTTCGGAACTTACACAGTGGCCTGACAAAAGAATGAACTCAAGGGCGTTGTCGCTTCATTCGGGATAGAGCCATACGGTTTAAAGAATTACATCACATTGTGCACCAGAGGTATACCGATTCCCTTCCAACTTGATAGAGGTTTTCATCTCACCCTGATTTCAAAACGGACCTGCTTGAATACATGAGGCGCAGCATTCGTAATGCGTACAGTGGAAGCCTGAATCTAATCAGGACTTTGAGCTACCATGTAACGCCCAGTTAAGTTTGCTATCTTATCAACTGAGCAGGTTTTAACCGCCTAGGTCTGGAGTGGACTTCTGAGCTTCAAATCTTGTGGCAACACCTCAGCAACAAAACAACTACAGACGGAGGCAATAGGTTCACGGGAACGACACATTCTATATCGGCTGAAGTAGCTAGAGAGCGAATTCGCTGACTGGAAGATCCTTAATTCGAACCCGACCTCTACATCTCGACTGCCACTGTCTAGGCTTGGGCAACCTGGCAGCATCCCAGCCATCGTGCTTCCCTCGGGTAGCATGGTAGCTAGGCGCCAGAAGGGTGAGATTTTTTAAAGTTATAGCCAAACCGGAGACCAGACGCAGCTTAGGCGACACAGCATCTATCCAGTCCATGACTTCTGACACCGATAACCTTCTTACATCAGTCCGTTTTGATGAATCACGCCAAGAGTCTTGAACGTTGTGCATGCATTCTTCGTCCTACACTCCACGGTCAGGTTGCTTTTACCGTGTGGCATACGGTGTCTGTCCGTTTGATCGATTTATATGTAAGTATTGGTGATGTACAACCTTGTTTATTGAGCTTCGGCTCATGAGCTTTGTTTCTGTTTTCCATCCACAGAAATAGTCGTGAACACCTGCTCTCGGATAATCACTGTCCCTTGATGCTACCATAGCGTGCATACTACAACTGACATCCATTAAGCCAACAGCGAGGAGTGGTAAAATGCATACCATAGCAGTCGCAGGTATGTTAGATGGTGCCGATCCGAGGATATCAAGAACGTCGGAGTGGGTAAATCATCTACGATGGACGTCAGGTCGAATGCTGCGTCACAAGGGCACTGGAAATCGGCTCCCAGGCGTCACGTGGGGCGCCATCAGGCTACAGATTATCGCCCGTATAACGGAGCCATGTAGCAAGCAACACAGGGCTACTCCAACATACCTTCGAGGTCGGGGGCATGTAAGAGACCACGTGAAACATGTCTCAAATGATGGCTGTCACGAGGACGCACCGACAACCACGGATTCACGGATTCACGGATTGATACACAGGATCGAGGCTTTTGCCCAAGTCTCCCGGGTTGGTTTTGTTCTTGTCGGTCAGTGGACCGGAGAGCTACCACAGGTCACGAACTACGAGTTGACGAGCAGCACACCCAACTTGGGGGCAGTGAGAGACAAGACGATGGGGATAACCAAAAACCACATTGTTTCCATGCTCGTGGCGCCACTGACCACGGACCAAGCGAGAGCATGATCCGATCGGCCAGCGTACGGGCCAATCAGAATGAAGAGCCGGGTTTTCACGGATTCACGGATTGATACACAGGATCGAGGCTTTGCCCAAGTTTCCCGGGTCGGTTTTGTTCTTGTCGGTCAGTGGCTGTCATTCACCCAAAGGCACAATTGAAAAAAGGGTGTAGCACTGCTCCTTGTGTTCTAACCGCGGAGAAGTATGATTGCCAGCGCGAGGGTTCGCATAAATAAATGTCTAATAGTGCTTTAAACTGGGTTCTAGAAAAAGCGTGAACAACCATCGGAGGAAGGTCATTCCACGCAGCTACTACCCGAAATGAAAAAAAGTTTTGTCTAACGGATGTGTGTGCCCTGAGCTTGAAGATTTTCTTACTATGTCCCCGCCGGGTGTTTGCTGGGTCAACGGTAAAAAACCTGTTTGCCAAGCTTTGTTCAAACAGGGCGTAGGTAAGAATTAGGTC